TCCGCATGCACCGCCATAGCAAGATGCTGCAGGACGAACGAACAAGTGGCAACGAGGACGTGTACATTCGGCGCCATTGCGAGTGCACTCGGCGCAGCTGTCGCGAGTGCTATCGCAGGGCAGACCATTGGAGGCACAGTGCTTGCGCTTGATGACGCGGTTGTATGAGCTCGAAGAGCCATCACCGATGCTACTACAGCACGCGTGTTAGCGTATGCATTTAATGTGGTGTGAAATATTAGTGGCTTATCTGGTGCCTTGCTCGCCGACTGCGATTACAATAGGGGCGACATCGACTGTACTCGGACGCATGGCGACCTCGTTTGAAGGGACAGAAGAGTGGGATAGGGCAAGAATAGGATCGATATCCGTCTCAACGACAGGTGTGAAGTCATTGACACGAGTTGTGAAAGAGATATCTAGTAGCTACGACGCGATATGAGGTGATGGGATGACTGCTGGTATAGGTATGAGACCATCTACTTGTGTCTCAAAGTACGTGGGTCTAGAGAAAAGCTATCAGAATGCGCGAAATCTCCATGTTACTTTACCTCGCAGGACACATTATGAGGGGAACATTCATTCAAGAGTAGCATATGGTCAGGTCGAACGCAATCTTTTATGGATACATACTAGGATATGTACGTATTTGTAACGACCTTGTCACGGCCCGGCGGCGATATCAGTATGTCATCCTGCCCTCTGTAGTTCCAAAATGCCCTGTATGTACACACGCGGTCACTTGTACTCCATCATCTCGACCTTCGCCCCGGTGTTGGCGACCTTGACCTCATCATCTACGTGCATGCGGGTGCAGCCCGGACGACAATGAGCACGAGGCTTCTCGTACAAACCACACTTAGCGATGGTGGGCGCCCTAGTCTGTTAGCGAAGTCATCCCATAACATACGGGAAGATGAACATACGGAGTAGCGGTGGCCTGGGTGTTCAAGCCGAGAGCCTTGAACCCAGACTCGAGAGCGTCCTTCTCAGCCTGCATACTGGCCATTTGCTCCTTAAGCCTGGCGACCTGAGCCTCAAGCGTCTTGACCTTGGCGGCCTCAGCCTCAAGTGTGGTGATGTAGTTGCCCATGGACTCTTTCTCCCTACGGTCGACGCGGAACAACTCCTTGGTCTGGCTGTGACGGACATACTCAACGCCAGCTTTACGATCGGACTCCTCTGACTTAGCCTTCCACTCGGCGATAGTCAGGGGTAAGCTACAGAGTCAGACACGACCCTACGATGTAGGGAGTTGTGAGGAATACTTACTCATCTTGACGCATCGGGGAACCCGTTGGGGAGGGCGAGTCGGCGAGGCAACGGCGGACCTTCTCCTCGTGCGTGAGCTCACGATCTTGAGCACCCGACCCATCGTCGTTGTAGTCCTCGTAGTCCTCGTAGTCATCGTACTCCTCGCCGTCGTAGTCCTCACCCTCGTAGGCGGCTGAGTGCGGGGAAGTAGGCTGGTTTCGCGAAGCCGATCGCGAACGTCGGGGCGAAGCCGAACGAGCGCGTGCAGGGGAGCGGGAACGGGTCATGGTCATTGTGATCCTGTTCGAAGTCGAAATAATGAAGTTGCGACAAGTGGTGTAGGAGTAATGAACAGTTGTCGCAAGGCAGATAAGTAGCCAGAGAAGGTCCAAGCGCTACTAGCTTTCTCTCGCTCGTGCGGTGTGTCACCGCGTGTGTTGCCTAGGGAAGTTTTTCAAGAAATGACGCATTGGCGCTAACCTGCTGTGCAAACAGAGCTTCATTTGAATCAATCGAGACACGAAGAGTGCGTCTCCATAGCACTATCGCTCACTGATCTTTCCTTCCCTACGTCTCGACACCACGCGCGATTATCAGACTACAACAGTCATGAGCGAACCGGCGCATATTCCCGATATCACTGCGGCCCAGGGCGACCCTGTGGTAGATCCAGCGTACGTCGACGCCTTCCATGCTGTATTCAATTGGTTCAACGCGCTGACAAGTTTTGAAGCCAGTCGTCCATGTCATCGCCCGTCCACACGGAGGATTCGCAGGCAGGCGACCAGATGCTTCGCGAGGAGGAGCAATCGCCGCCGGCGATAGTGGAAGGCACTTCAGCGACAGGCACCTCAGCGACAGGCACCTCAGCGACAGGCAGCCTGACCGACGAAGATGAACCTCCTACTGCTTCCATGCCCGTCCTCCGAGTCGGTTACAACCGCGTCATCAAGTGCGTAACATGTCGCGCCAACGACCTCCCGTGCGACAACCTCGACCCTTGCAACGAGTGCTACAAAAACGAGACCGATTGCGTTCGCCGTCGCTGCGGCTTCGCGGCTAAGGAGATTGGAGAGCGCTGCGAGCCGCTCTGCGACCGTCTTCACTTCAGCGACGTGGCTAAGGAGAGCGAGGTAGACAGCGACAAGATGAACAAGCGCAAACGGGAGGTAGAAGACAGTGGCGCGGAAGAGAAGGTCCCAGATAAGGCAATGAAGGACGCGGTCTTGGAGGAGAGGACATCGGACGAGCAGCCAGAAGGATGTAACAGCCTGGAAGAGATGTGGTTGGCGGCAAGGACCACTGCAGAAAGGGAAAGGATAAGAGATCGCATGATCGACGAGCAGATGGCGAGAGCGAAGGAGGAAGTGGCTGCAAGGATGGCAGCGGGAGAGTACCAGAAAGACGACGTGACAAAGGGTGAGGACAAGAAGGCCAAGAAGTCTGCTGTTGCCATCGCATACGCGTATCTCGCAGATGGAACCAGAGTCACGGCGCAGGATGTTGAAGCTATGGAGTCAGTTTTGTCGTAAGGACAAGCATCGCTTGTGGCGATCAGGCGCGACGGCTTCAGGGATGGTAGGGCGCCTCATCGCACTCACGATATTCTCTGTAGACTGTCAGGCCGAAGTATCGCCTAGTCGTCGATCGTGGGGAAGCGACACATGGTACGCGGGGAGAGACTTATGGGGGAAGCATTCTGCGATGTAAATACGCTGAGATGCTCCTGAAATGACTATTGATGTAACATAAAAGACTTGTGTACATGTTCATGGGTCGGATGTGATGATTAGTAGAGGTGATGTCTTCGGTGAGGTTGGTAAGCTTCCGGCTATCCCTTCCAATCAGAACGGCCCCGCTTCCGGTACTAAGGTAGCCTACATCATCACCATTTGACGTCTTCCTTCCTATGTGCACACGACATTTCCTCAACATTGCTCGAGATCCGTTTATCTCCAAATCTTATCGCAAATCCAAGTTGACACAAAAGACACCCAGGATGGCAAACACCAGCGAGTTGCGTCTCTACCGACGTCCCACTATGCGCCAGGTAATGACCAGCTGACAAATGCAGTCTAGTACGACTAGCACAGAGACTCGTTCGAGATGGACCTTGCAGGATAGAGCATACAGCACGTCGCGTACGAGGCCTTCTCAACGGAAAGTATGCCTTCGACACCCTGAATGCGCATCATGTTTGGGAACTGGAGTTGCGTTATCCACAGTATGATCAATCTTCTCATCCGTATGCTCTTACTGTGCTGAACATACCAGATATTTTGTACCGATCTCAAGCTTCACTTCCCACGCCAAATTATCGCGAGGCTCCGCTGTGGACGGAACAGATGATGGCGCACACCTAGCGAGTCTCACAGTCGGCAATCGCAGTAGCAATCGCATTCTCATCTTCAACACCGGCAAGCTCAAAGATCTCGTAAAAGTCGACTTCCGCGCTGTTGATCAGTGGTTCGAAGAAGACATGGAAATATATGGCCATCCCAAAGACCCTTACAAGCGCATCGACATTCTACCATCTTCGCGAAACGTCAGGGTAGCTATCGACGGCGTTACACTTGCTGAGAGCTCAAGCGCCTTATTCCTTTTAGAGACGACGCTGAGGACGAGGCACTACTTGCCGCCGACAAGCGTCAATTGGGAGTACCTCACACCGAGCGACACGCTGACTTTGTGTCCGTACAAGGGTCGCGCGGAGTACTACAACGTCAGCGTTGGAGGCAAGCTGTATCGGGATCTTGTATGGTACTATAGATATCCGACCGCGGAGAGCGCGCCTATTGCTGGACACATGTGCTTTTATAATGAGAGGGTAGAGGTTTATGTTGATGGTGTAAAGGAGACACCTTAATAGCGGCAGTCTATGGTGTGCCAATACCGGCAAAGAATATCTGTAGTCATTGCATCAGCTCGCTTCGCGTCGCAAATACAGGAAATCTCCTTCGCGCAACAGATAGAAAGTAACCATCTTCCTCAAGCCTTGCCACAAGGGAAAGGTACTCAATGAAAATGGTCCATCCCGCGATGCATACTCATGGCTGACACCAGAGCTGCAGGCGACCGGAGATGAACAAGCCCGTGTATCAACTCATCGCTTGCGAACAAACGACAAATCGCACATCAAACTTGCCCACCAGTTCAGGCGTGTAAGTTCCCGTGAGAACTAACCTGAGGGATGAACTGCACTGCGGGCGAGACTCCGATCGGGCTGTCAGACCCGAATCGAAGTATGATTCTCTGGCGAACGTTCCAAGAAGCTTGGTCAGTTCCTCGCACATGCCCCCAGCACAACGAAGCACTCAAGATCCCGTGAAACCTTGATATGTGACATTCGAAGTGACTCATCAGTAAGAGAATCCCTTAAAGTGAGCCCAAGCCGATGAGCAGTTGAGAAGGCAGTAAAGACAGTTAGAGAAGAAAAGAGCAAGTTGGAGGGGCAGGCCGAGCTCATATGGATATCAGAGCCCGCCAAGCGCTTGGCGCGCTAAGGTGCACGTGACGTCCGTGCCCCGGTCATCCGCGGGGATTAGTGACAACGAGGTGAAGGAGGAATGTACATATAGAAAAATGGAGAGGGAATTTCATACTCTGAGTCACTGTGGCTCCCGTGACGCGGAGATCTAGCGCCGATTTCGCCTGATTGCCCGCACTTGAACTGGCCATATTGATCGACCTTCACTGCCACATTTGCTACCGACATTCCAAGGTTACATCACAAAACCATTTGCAACATGGCTCCTTTGACCGCACGAAAGCACCCAAACCTCATCGTCACGGTACTTGCAGGGGTTCTCGCCCGCAACCGAGAGCTCACCGACCAAGTCGCATCACTGTCGGCTGAAAATGCTCGGATTCAAGACGACGCTGCTGCCCACGACCGAGAGCTCAGCGGTCAGATCGCATCACTGTGGGCTGGCAAGGTTCAGATGCAAGACGCGATGGCCGAGCAAGACCTGCAACTTCAAGCCCTCGAGCAAAAGAACGAGATGTTGACCAGCGAGAAAGACCAGCGGGAGTTCGCCAATCTCGACCAGGAACTAGCCGATTCAAGGCACAAGCTGAAGGCAGAAGAGTCGGCTGATCACCACGCCTTCGTCTCCTCCGCCTCACGCCGCAAGTCACACACCAAGAGCGCGGTGAAGCTGTCCCAAAAGCGCGGACATGAGCCTGACAAGTAAGTCGATCACCACCATTACAAGCACGATGACTGACCTTACAATAGTAGCCCGGCCAAGCGCATCAAGAAGGTCAAGCACACCCCCGGAACGGTGTGCATTGAGTGCTACCACTCCAAGACCACCAAACATTGCGACGGAGCTTCCACCTGCTGGCCCTGCCAGTTCCGCGACAAGGACTGCAAGCGCATGAAATGCAAGAACTTCGCCGCCGGTACATGTCGCCTCGTCAATTGCAGTTTGGCGCATAGCGACAGCGGTTTCCCCAAGGAGATCTTGGAGGAACACCACCATGTCCCGCAGTCGCTCGAGCCTCCGCCCTTCATCCCGCCGAAGCCCTAGCCGACTACGAAGTGAGTTGCCGCGTCGCTCGAGGATGGCAAAAGAGGTTTGGAGACTTTACACTGGTTTGCGATGGATGGAGGAGCAGGTCAGGAGAGGATGTATACGCATGACAGCACTGTATCTGGTCGAATGTGATCGCAGGTCTCAACGACAACCTCCTGGGCGTACTGATGGCAGCGAGATGACACAGTGTTGCTGAGACGTATTCGGCAAACCATAGTAGATACTAGAAACACCCTCCTTTACACGTCCGTGACTACTATGAGACAAAACCTTCCTACTTTCACTTAAAGCTAACACCGTAACTATTCCAACCCACCGACTGATCCCAACCCTGAACCAGTGTCTTCCCACCTGGGCCCGTACATACATTACCCTTCTCAATTTGCTCCTCCTCTTGCACCTTTCCATCGTTCTTCCGCCCATTATCCCAGCCGTTTTGCATGCCAAACCCAAGGTAACAGTCATCACGCTGAATAGGCGCAAATCCGTGAATCTCGAAAGTCACAGCGAGAGAGATGTCAGGCTTCTTCTTATCGGGATTGGGCAGCTTGAAGGCATAGTCGGCGGTGAGAGGCGGCATGATGGGCTTGTTGTGAGGGTCGATGACGGGTTTGGGAAGGAGAGGAGGATTGGGAGCGTCGGCGCGGACGTGGTCGTCGCACCATTTCTGGGCTGCCTTGTGGAAGTCTTCTAGAGTTGGGTGGGGCTTTGATGAGCAGGATTGCTTGTCAGCTCGCTGTACGTTGTTGCTCAGCTCTGCGATTGGTGCGGCGAGGACGAGGCTTAGGAGGAGTGAGGTGGAGAGAAGCTGACACTTCATGATAGAATATGGTGACTGTATTGCGATTGCTTATTACGATGTCTTGCTTGAGGAGTAAAGTGGATATGTTACTGGCGGCTGGATCAGTAGCAGTAATATGAAAGTATGGTCTTCGGGTTGAGGAGTAGTGTAGTAACGGAGCACACATTATATACCTCACGCAAGTCACATCGCCGCTGTGAGTATCGGAAAATCGTACGAAGCTATTTTCCAACACCATCGTTCCCCTTGTGTTTCCTCTCCCACGCCTTTATTTCGATACACTGTGTAGCTTCGGATGTGGTATTGCGACGAGGTGCTCGTGAAGCGGAAGGTCGTGGCAAGACAGCTGTCGTATATAATCACGACAGCCGGTGAATCCAGGTACGAACGGCAAAGGTCTTCCGAGCGAAAGTTGCGCCGGACTTGTGAAAGAAGCCACGAATGCGCTATGACAGTCGATCTCCTATACTACACCGTAATTACTCGAATTTACTGCAACGCTTTACTCTTCAACCAGCGATATGATTACGTCGCGAATATCAAGCTTACCGATGGGCAAAGTCAAGCAGTTCTTTCGTTCGCTAAGTCGTCGACTGTCGATCTCCGTGTTCAAAGCGCGTGGCGAGTCCATAGGGTCGCGCGAATCAAGCCCTTTCTCTTCTCTGGCGCAACACGACACCAACAGCAAATCTACCTCTACAATAGAAACCCGGGCAACGTCCCACAACGAAGCGCGAACGTCGCCGTCTACGCCACCGATCGCGCCAATCGACCGCACCTGCCCCGAGACAGTGAAGCGGGGTGGAGCGTCCATCGATTGCGCTCCGAGAAAGGATACGGTCAATCAGCGTATAAGCGATTTGAATGCGTATGCAGGTCTCCAAGTCAATATTGCGATATTGCGTTTCGTACACAGGCTACCGCTGGACGAACTACGCATCATTGGCCAGAGACCGATGCTGTCTTCGTCTTTTGCTGCGGGAAATACATTTGAGGAAGATGATCGGCGTCTTCCACGAAGCGTCGCGCGACCAAAGACTATGAGCCTTGCTAGTACGACTGGGGACCTGAGTAGGTCTTTCGTATGTGGCCCGGAGAACAGGATTGAACGCAGCCGTACTGGAGACGAATGTCGACACGTTCAATGTGCCGTACACGAAAGGCCGAGTCTCTATTCTTCGATGATGGACATGGAATCCCATGCGGACGCAATAACGCTTAGCCTCACCAGTCAAGAGAGCGCCTCAGCATGGTCGTTCGCGTGTTCTTCGGCGCAACTCGTCGAGCGGGAACACGCAACTCGGCAGCGTGGAGCTGCGGACATGGAGCGCGCGCCTTCCTTCACAACACGATCGGCCGACTCGTGTGATCTCTTCCTGGCATCGATTGGCCTCTCGCCACACCCAGACAGTATTCCAAGAACCGACCACGAAGACACGGATGACTTTGACATGGAAGACTTACCAAACTGGTCCGACGTGGAGGACGACCCAGAGTACAACCAGTTTGAAGAGCGCTCATTCCACTGGACGGATACGGATAGCTCCCACTCTTCCATGAATTCGATGAGAATGGCGGACACGTCATCGCCAGCATTCTACATGCCCGCTGTAGATGTCGAAAGTGTTGCACCTAACATGCATGGCGATGTCGCGCATAGCAATCGCGGGTGAAGGACGATGAAAGAACTGAGGTTTGCAGGTGGTTGGAGTGTTGGAGCACCAAGACACAAGGGGAAGGCCAAGCGCCGGCGGCTAGCGGGTTCGCGTGTCAGGGAGCCGGCCTGGATTCGCAAGTCGCGCAGGACGGCGGCTCAGGGCCAATGCGCCATCATCGTCGTCGACACCTCCACATCCACCTACCACCAACCGCCTGCTCAATGTGCCACGGTGACGTCGCCCACCTGCCCATCGCACCTTCCTCCTCATAGCATCGCTTCCTATCACCGGCGACTCCCCAGGCCCCTAGCGACCGCCCATCCCCCACGGCCGCAGCGACGGCAACATGCTGAAACCGCTGGCTGGCCGTTTGGCACGGCGGCCATGGAGATTTCTCTTCCCCGGCCTCCTTCTTTTCTTTTTTGCATACACACTCTCGCATCGGAGAGGGTCACATCCCCAGGCGCCCGTACACAAAGCGAAGACAAAGTCGTATTTCCCGCCCCTCGAAAACAAAGCCGCCAATTCAATCGAGCTCGACTACTGCCAGAATTTCCCTACCAAGCTGCTGGAAGAGGTGCAGGTTGTTCTCAAGGTCGCATCGGATGGGGCACATGAGACGAAAGCACACCTGAGCACGGTATCGAGCTGCATCACGAATCTGATCATCGTGGGCGACCGGGAAGAGCGATTGGGAGACCGCCATGTCATCGACATCCTCGCAGAGCTTCCCAAGAGCTACCAGAAGGACAATGTCGACTTCCAGATCTACGTCGAGCACAAGAAGGCACACGAAGGCGGCGAGACGGTCAAGGAGCAGCAGCGGTCCTTCAAGCTCGATCGCTTCAAGTATCTGCCCATGGTGGACAAGGCATACATGACCAACCCCGCAGCCAAGTGGTTCGTCTTCATTGAGTCGGACGTCTACTTCTTCTGGGACACGCTGTTCCGCCTACTAAGCCAGCTCGACGCCTCGCAGCCACACTACCTTGGCGAGGCGCACAAGGGCTCTGAAGGCCGTCATTTCGCCTATGGCGGCGCAGGTATCGTCCTGTCTCAGGGTCTTGTCAAGCAACTCATCCCAGGCAAGACTCCTGGCTCCACCGAGATCCCCCGCGAAAACCGACTAGGCGTCCGATACGAGAACTGGGTCAAGGAGGAGCAGCGCGGCGACGCTGTCCTTGCATACGCCATCCAGAACGCGACCGGCCACAAGCTCGAGCCCATGTACCCTACCTTTGCTAGCGACAAGCTCAAAGATGTGACCACCACACGCGACAAGTGGTGCGTGCCAATGCTCTCGCTGCACCAGCTCAAGCCACAGCAGATGGAAGACTTGTGGAGGTGGGAAAGGACACGGCCGTACAACACGGTAAGCATTTCCTCAGCTCCAACCCAAGCTACCTGACTAATATCACGTCATAGAAACCATTCACCTACTCCTCGTTCCTCTCTTATACCCACGGCTTCCTATCACAGGGTCCATCGAAAGAATGGTGGGATAACCTTTCGCAAGCGCCCGTACCGAACGATCGTCCCGCACATCGCAACGCCGGCTCGTGCGGTTCAGAGTGCGCTAATGACGGCAACTGCCTCCAATGGTCTTACTCGCAGACCGTCTGTCGTCACGCCGATTACATCAAGCTTGGCGATGCTGTCGACCGAGAAAACGGCGGTCAAGGCGAGTTCGTCAGTGGCTGGGACACCGGAAAGCTCCGCGACATGGGCTTTGGTGTCGAGGGACAAAATGGCCAGAGAGAGTTTTACGAAGGTTGCGTCGAAGCCACCTGGCTGACCCCACAAGAGATGTAGAAACACTCATACGTCAGCGTATAGAGACGGACATGTATTCGAGACCAGTGACACATAGGGAGGCGTTGCGGTTGCTTGTACCACGTTCATGCATGGCGTTCTGGGTTGGCACATCATTTTGGATATGTGGAGCGTCGCAAACAGCGCGTTGAGCAAGCGTCATGTTGACAGGAAGATGGACATCAGGCCGATGAGCTTCTTGGGCGAATATGTAATGAACAGAGTTTGAGCATAGACGCAGGGCATAAACTGCGAGGCGGTATGATACCGCGGGCGTTAGACCTGTATATGATAATAGCACACATCTTCACATCTACCCGACGCGCATTCGGCCCTTGAGATACCCTCGTGGTAGGTAGATGGACGAATGTGAGTGAATTCGTCCAGAGCGGAGGCTTGACCTTCCGCTGCCGGTGGGTGGAATACAGTTGTTCCGCTTGGACCCTCTGCGCGTCGCCGAACGACTGCTGCCAACTCTTGACACCACTATATCCTCTCCATTTCAACATTATGCCCAGCGTCGCGAACGACTCTAGAACCACATTCAGCCCATTGCTGACAGCCATGCTTGTTCAGATCATTACGACTCGGTCGCATTCCCGGTGTTGATGAAACTTGGCGGCGCCGGTGTGTTTGACGGCCTGATTCGGTCGCTTTCTGAAAATGTCGGTTGTCGCTGCTGCTCCACGCATGAAATTGCGCTTTGGGCAGTGAAGGCAGTA